TTTTTGAATGACTTAGATCTATTAGTTATATGGTACAGTTTTCAGTTGTGTGATATGTACTATTGCATTTTTTGTATTTCATGTTTTCAAATTTCTTTTTTCGTTCTTCTTTGAATTTATCATATCGGTTGGTAGTATAAGGTGTAAACTTTTTGCCTTTGTTGAATTTGTTGAAAGTTGGTTTATATGCACTTGTATTGAATTGTGGTTTAAATGTTGTAAAACTTTTTCAAAATTGTGGTAGTTGTTCTGTTGTTTTTTCTAACCATTTTTGATAATTTTGGGTCATTGGTTTTTCATAGTATTTGGATTTTGTTGGGTCTTTAATCTATTTTTTAGATTTAGTTCTATTGTTTGTAAATTTTACTTGGTCTCATTTATTAAATTCTCATTTGTTTTGGTAAGTTTTTCTTTTGTAGTTAGGATTATAGTTTCGTCCTTTGTAATTTCCTTTATAATTTTGTTTTTCTTTGTGATTGTTGTTTCTTTCTGAGTTTTATTTGTCAAACTTTTTAGTATAAGGGTGATTAGCAATTTTGTTTTTGCATTCTTTCATAAAATGTTCTGTTTTTCCACATTTATAGTATTTTAGATTATTTTTCTTTACTATATAATATTTTTGTTTTGCTGAGAAGTTTATTTCTTTTCTTGGTTTATATTTGTTATATTTGTATCCTTTTTCATTTGAGAAGTTTTCTTTTTTCTTGTCTCCAAATTGTTTTCTGAATGCTTGTCCTACTTGTCCTTCTTTATAAGAGTCATATACTTGTTCTAATTTATTAAAGAAGTCTTCCAAACAATAAAGAAATGAAAATACCCGACCAATATCAAGCGAATAGAACCCATAGCAAGAAAACAAAAAAAAGATGCAAAAAGCCCTATTGATGCACCAAAGCAAATAAATATCTCTTGAAAAGAGTTAAACACTTTTAGTATTCAAAAAACAACCAGAACAAAACAAACTTGCTCCAGAAAATAATATGTATAATATATTTCTTAAACAATGTAGACTTAATTACAAAAGATAAAATATATAGGTGTTACCTGTGACAGTATCACAGAACAAATAGTAAACGCAGTAATAACTACTGGAAGTAATATAATACAAACATTCATGACTTACCTATCAACACAACAATCATATTCAGATGAAAATATAAAAAACTTTATAACTTTGAAAGAAGGCAAACCCAATCTAACAAATGATTATAAACTAATCAAATTACTCGAAGAATATGAAAATGACGTACCAGAATTAAAAATTGTAATATATGCCAGTATAGGATTATCAATAAATGATAAACTCCAATATAATGGCAAATTTAATTGGAAAATAACCAGAATAATAGAAGAAATAAAGCGCACAAAACAAATAGGAAGTAAAATATATGTATTACACATAGGCGTATCAAATACAGGTAAAGATGCAAGAGAAAAAGTACAAATAAAATTAAACCTCGAGAAAATACTTAGAAAAATACAAAAAACCAAAGTAATGATATTATTAGAAAACTCTGCATCAAACAAATGCTATAGAGCTAATATAGAAGAGCTTTTACAAATAAAAAAGTATTAAAAAAGAATTACAACACTTCGAAGATGAAAAAGGAAACAAGGTATCACAAGTCAAGCTATGCTTTGACACAACACTATTTTGCTGCAGGAGCTGGCAGATTTATAGAGGACTACAAAGAAGTTTTAGACAAATATGGAAAAGAAATCTATTTAATACATATAAATAATATAATGAAAGAATGAAGGTTTCAACAACCAAGCAGAACATGAACTATAATGAAACCAACAGTATTCGGAAGCGGCCAAAATGTGCACACACCACTACTAAATGGACAATTATCCAAGAAATATTTGAAATGATAATGAAATACCCACATACCAAAGCAACTATATTAGAAATATACAGAAAAACCAATAAACAGAAAAATGAACAAATAACTAAAGTATATACACTTAGAAAATATGCTGGCGATCTAATAGTTGAAGATAAAGAACTATATGCATCAACCGAAGAATGAGTAGATGCAATGCTTGATGATTATATATCAAAAAATCTACTACCGAATATAGAAATAATAGACCTTATGAAACAAATAAACTGATTAACTATTCAAGATAGAGAACACTATCAAGACCCTAAAGAAGAAAAATCGCAAAAACAGATTAGAGAACAAAAACGTGAAAAGACATTACAAATTACAAATGAATTCTTAAATAAATACAGAACTGAAGAGGTAACTAAAAAGAAAAAGGTATCACCACCAACAACACTGAAAAACATAACAATATTGTTAAATAAAAACATAAAAGAAATCAAACAAAACAAGAACAAGAATCCCAAAATGAACAATTTGTAAAGGATCTAGAAGAATTAATGGTAGAAATTACCAATATAGAAAATAAATACGAGGCAATTCAATGAATGCCCTGAACTAAATTAGAAGAAGTATATCAACAAATACAAACTATACCTTCCCTACCACAAGAAATAAGAGAAATACAAGATAATGAAACACCCAGAGAAAAGATTTACACTTTTCTAAACTGGCACAAAGAACAACAAGAACCTACTAAACAGTACTATAAAAATGAAATAGCTGAGCAAGAAAGAAATTACCAATATACATATGATGATGCTATACAAATTCAACCATCTCAATTTGTAAACATGCCAATGGCAGACAAACAACTAGTTATGCAACAACTAGTAGGAGAATCAAATAGCAATGGAGATCCTAAAAAATGAGAACAAGCTCGACAAAGGTAGTTTGACAATCTGATGATGGAAATAAAAATATTTGACCATGTCAAACAAATACACCTATGACAACAAGACCAAAGTAATATAATAAAAGATGAATACTCAGACAATATAAAATCAGATAAAGAACACCAACAAAAGAATAATGAATTCTTCAAACAATACTATAATAAACAAGATATTATAGACCCAAGTCAATATCAAACATTATATACTGAATAAACAACATATCTGATCTAAATCTGGGAGAAGGCAGTAGAACCCAAGATGTATATATACTACCACCTTCACCAAGATATATCTCGCAAATAACACCTTCACATTCAAGGACACCATCAACAACAAACTTTGGAAATGCATCAAAATTACCATTTTTATTCCAAAAAGATTCAAGCCAAGACCTATGAAAAACAGCATTAAAAGATAATGCAACAACACAACTAAATGAACCAACAGTACAAATGGATGACCTACAAAATAATAAATTTATAGTACCACCAATATCTGATGAATTTAAATGACAACAACAAATATCATTTACTAAAAAACATAACCCAAAAATAACCAAACAACAAGAAAAACTAAGTGAACCAACAATTGAAGAACAAGAGAAATTAAAACTAGATACATTTGACAAACCATTCGAAGAATGATTGCTAAAATAGACCAACAATTAAAGGAACCTGACTAAAAATCAGCTGATAATTCTGATTTAATAGAAGTATCACCTAAACTAAAACTGATAACTGGTAGAGCATCGACACCAATTTCCAAAAAAAGAAGAAACTTTATATGGCTACAATATAGAATTAGACTCAGTAGAACTACAGTACAAACCAATTAAAATGAATGGAAAAACAATAAAATTACACAAAGCCTTAGCGCATATACCAAATGAGATAAGGCAACATATGATACCAATAATAGAAAAAGGTCACCCTGTTTACACGAAAAAACAAACAATAATATAACCATTCATATGGCAAAATATAGAAATAATTAACACTAAAAAAAGAAAATAATATTTAATTAAAACACCTGTGCATATTGCACAAAACAGATTAACTATCCAAGACAGATTAATCTGGAATTCAACAAAAATACAAATATTTAACTAGACAAATAAACTAATTATAATACCTAGTAAAATGCATATAGAAAATATAGAAGAAGTAAAAAAAATCTTCAATTTCCAGTATAAAAAACACAAAGATAATTACAAAAATGAAGAAGAAAGATTAAAAATATTAATCAAAAATACTGATCCCAAATATAGAAAAATGTTTAAACCACTGTTAAAAAATATGTGAAAACAGTATTCAGAATGAAGCCAGAAAAAGCAACTATATTCAATTCTAAAGAATTTACACCAATAAGCTTACTGCTTAATACTCCTGAAGACCAAATATCTAGAAATGAAAAATCAAGAATGAGAACTAAACCTTTAGATCCAGAAGCACAGAAAAAAGCTGATAAATTATATGAAGGACTCATAAAAGACAAATATATAGAACTATCAACATCTGACTGGACATCACCCTTGTAATAATTAAAATAAGATGAAAGTTATAGAGTAGCATATGATTATACCAAACTAAACAAGTATACAAAAGATG